GTGTTTGCAGAGTGTCTCAGTGACAGCTCCATCTTTGTCCAGAGTCCCAACTGCAACCAGCGCTATGGCTGGCATCCTGCCACCGTCTGCAAAATACCCCCAGGTTAGCATGAGAGGGTAATCACAAACTCCATAGGCAATGACCAAAGCAAAGCAACAAGTTCTATCAAAGCCTTAAAATAAATGGTTTTCTTTGCAGGCTGCAACCTGAAGATCTTCAACAACCAGGAGTTTGCTGCTCTGCTCGCTCAGTCAGTTAACCAGGGCTTCGAGGCCGTCTACCAACTCACCAGGATGTGCACCATCCGCATGAGTTTTGTAAAGGGTTGGGGAGCTGAGTACAGGTAAATAAATACATTTCAAACAAATTAAGAGAATTATATAACAATTACAATAATATGAATACATTACAGTTGTTTCTTAAATATACATGTTATTGACCAATATGTGTTTTTAATGCAACTATATAAGGCTTAGAAAATAGAGCAGAAGGCGTTGGAGAAGTCAACCAGTTCAAATGTAGTGCGAGTAAGTTGCTAAGACAAATATATAATGTGCTGCTTGCCATATTAGAATGATTCAAATGTTTATAAAAGTAATTTCAGTATAAGAAAAGGGCAGCAACTTTTGTCAATTCAGAATTTCTTTTTTTTTTGTAATATAGTGCGCTAGACTTAAAGCAGTGGGCAAAAGTACAATTTAACTGACCCAACAACTGACTCTAACCTTCCACATCAACATAGCTTTTTTCCTTTCCTCTCTCTTTGTGAACTTGGTACTTGGATAAACCCAAAGTAATGAGTAATCCCGAGGGAGTGGGGGGAGACAGGGAATTTAAGGGGGTCTTAAGCGGGCCCTCTGCGAACCTGCCCTCCTCTTCAGGGTTCGAACATGTCAGACACAACTGCACATAAAGCAGTTAACAGCCAAGAATAGACACGCTATGTCCCTTTCTCTTCTCGCCTCTACACTTAACCTTCTATTTTGTTTTTGTTAGTAGTGTAAAAACCCTATCCCTAGTTAAGTGTTTCATTAGCGGTTCCTATTTCAGCTTTAAAGGGTGGAATAAAGCTCCTGCCTCAACACACAGTCCACATGTTGTCTTTGTCCCAGCCTGTTATAAGTTATCAGTAAACATTTGGTTTATGTGTTCTTCTTGCTTTCATGAGTGTGTTGCACAACCTACGTATACGACATAAAAGTGTCATTAAGCTGTGTGCCCCGAGTTTCAGAATAAAAGGGGACCTGGGTTGCGGTTCAATAGTCCAAAAATCAGCTCCTAACGTCTAACCCTATTGTCTATCCCTTGACCTCTGTGTGAAACGTCACGGGGTTAAGGGATAGTGGATAGGAGATTTCAAAAGGACTTAGAAGAGTACTTTAGAGAATCCGAATGCACTTTCACTATCCAACGTGTTTATGATGCGCCAGCGGACGTCATAAATGTGCGTCTGCTGCTGTGGGGAAACTATGGAAACTACAGTTTTCTATAGAGCGGACTACAACATGGATGTATAATAAGAACGAGAGACTCTGCACCGTGCTCTGATGCTGTTGCTTTATGCTTTATGAACGTGGACAACAGAGAAACATATTCTTCATGACCAAAGTTGGAATTGAAGTACAAAGGAAAGTGAAACTTATGCTCGTCACCCTCTCCCTCCGGTCCACATTAATACAAATGATCCCAATACGTATGATTGTATGAAAATATCTTAAAATCAATACAAATATATTTATTATAAACGTTAGTCCTTAACACCTATCACTGTGTATATCACCATTCAAACATCTTTTAAAAGTTGAACACACTCCACACAGCTCAGTAAAGACTGTGAAATGTTGACTTTGTTTGATCATTTCAGTAAAAACTAACGTTCATATTTCTCTTTTTGATTATAATACTGATGAACGTTCAAAACAAAGCACTTTGGCAAGTTACCACATACGTTTTAAAATGCTTAATAAGCACCGTAACTTTCATGATATTATTCTCGGTCATAATCGGTTGTTTCCGTGAACCGCCGACTGTTGTGTGACGGCAAATGCTGCAGCCGCCCGCAAGGCATTGTGGGGCAGCATTTTCTCCTCTCCCTTCGTAAAGGGAGGTCCAGTGGTTCCTAAGCTAAAGGAGGTTATAAAGGAAGTTTGAAACCTCCTTTCCTATCATCTAGAGAATTTGAACGGCACTTATCATGGCTGCCACTGACGTACTTCCGGGTCATTTCACTCGGTTAGGAAGGTTCCTAAGCTAAATGGACTATTGGAACGCAACCAGGGCCTTTACGTTTAGGGTCAGGACAATTTACATCAGTTTTGGGGGTTTAGAAAAAAATCAAGGGGTGTTGTGCAGGGAAGGTAGCAGACTTGAAAAGGAAGAGGAGGGAGATGGGGGAGGGGCTGCTGTGAGTCGGCAAGAGAGGGTTGAGTAACGAAGCAAGAATGCGGCAGGCATGCATTGGTGAGGGGGACATGGAGTGGGAGCTGAACACATTTCAGACACCCATTGCAAGGGGGATTCCCACTGAAGCATGAGTGCTGCATGTTATATATATATTTCTGGCAACACCTTGGAGGAAAGCATCTCTGATAGAAACTTCAATGACTTCAGAAATAGCCTGTAGAGTTGGCTTGAGTGTCAGAGCCATCCAAGGCAAGACATATTGAGTGTTGTATCTATGCATTGGCTATAAGGGAGTTTCATTAATAATGTCAAGCTCTTAGTACCAACACACTGTGCTGCCCTCTCCTTCCCTACAGGCGTCAGACAGTGACCAGCACCCCCTGCTGGATAGAGCTGCATCTCAACGGCCCGCTGCAGTGGCTGGACAAGGTCCTCACACAGATGGGATCTCCCAGCATCCACTGCTCCAGTGTGTCCTAGGAGCAGCCCATGCTTCCCAGAAACCCTCCTTCCCAATACCACACTTAATCACAAACCACATAGGGAAACCCCAGCGTCTCTCCGAGATAATATGGAAAGAGACACCATTCATCACTCTCCTCCATCGCTGTCTCTAACATTTCACCTCGCATCGATAGCACTTTCCTCCGTACCGTGTAGTGTCTCCATTTGATGGTTATTTTAGGACTTGTGCACTGTCTTGTTTTCATGTGTTCAACCACAGGGTATTTGCAATAGGTTTCAAAAGACTTAATCATTATTCATTCAGACATCACGTCTATGCTGTGCTCTAATTTTTATTATAAAGGAGATTGAAATGTTTGATCCAAAGTTATGGTACAGTTTGGTCACCTTTTTAACATGTTTCAAAACATTTGATTCTATGAATTAGCTAAATTATGCTATCCTCACTGGTGTTTCAGTGTCCCAGTACCACTCTTTGTAATCACTGAATTAGGAGGCTTATTTATCATCGAACCATAAATTAACATGGAAAATGTCATTCTGAGTAGTGATTATATTTAATTAATATCTTAAGTACAAGGTACTTTGCCCATATTGATTTATCTGTAGGTAATGAAGTGACAATTATTTGATTGCTCATGTAATTGGAATTTTCTCTATTTTAAACAAAATATAGACATTAGCACGATTGTTTCTTGAAAAGAACCCTTGTATGAAAACTATTTTGCTCAATGAAAGAGACATTTTATAAGTTATTTTTGCATACTGTCCTGCATGGAAATATATATTTTGTATTGCCTCGATATAATTGTACATAAATATTTATAGCTTGTGATTTCTTGTAGTTGTGCAGTGCTTGAAACAGTGGACCTGATTGACCTCTGGCATGAGTAGATTCACATAAACACTTTGCTTTAATGACCCAAACCCTGGCCTGCTTGAATGCAGGCTTTTTCAAACCTGGGTCAACTGGATCTTAACTGTGACACGTAGGATTACTTTACCAGCTATTACTGATATTCATATTGTGGACATAGACTATGACTTACAGTTTGAGTGATCATAGTGAACTGGTTGAATGTAGATTGTGTGACCTCAGTGTGAGGGGTGCTCACCAGCAGCAACATGGCTGTGGTTTATCCATAGATGGCATGTAGAGTAAAAACATTATTGCAGATTTCTTCACATATTACCAACTGTTAGCCAGTAGTACACGATGCTCATTGTTGGTAAATAATGCACTTCCAATTGACTGTGTTGATCAGTGTACAGCTTAAGTTCTCGTGGTAATTTGCTTGTCCAGTGAATACTCATATTACATGTACATTGCTACAATATTAGGCATGTGTAATATGCTCGATTTCCTTGGTCATTGTCTCTGAAGCCACCATGTTTACCCTGCACTTACTTACGGTACACAAGACTGAGTCACCATGTCATCTATTATAGATTGTTACACGGTGGTAAACGCAAATACTGTAAACTACAGTGCATTGGGTAGTTGGTAGATCTGTATCAGTACTTTTGTTCCTTGATATTCTTAGTTGGTGGTTTTTGTTCCAAGTCTTATGTACATGTTTTTTCATGTATGCTATTTGTTCTCAAATGACCATTGTTTTGTTAACTGTGAAAATAATTTAATAAATTGCAATTGAGTAAAAAGATGTCAAGTCAATGCTCAACACTCTTACTTACTATCTACAATGTCCAATACAGCACAGTGATTGATTATTGTCCAGTTTCGGTGCTGAAAGAGGTTTTTTTCTGATCTGTGAATGAGTCTAAGGATGAGGTGAGCTGTGTGTACTAGGGCTGCTCAATTAATCGTATTTTAATCGCGATTAGGATTATGGCTTGCAACGATTACGAAAACAACGTAATCGAAATAAAACGATTATTTTTTTATAATTATTTTGGTTTTTCAGTTAAATTATACTTAAAGTTTAGGGTAATCAACTGTTAAAAACATACTCTTCACTTTTTTTTTTTTTTATCGCATTTAATAATTGCAATTACAATTATTGACTCAAATAATCGAGATTATGATTTTTGCCATAATCGAGCAGCCCTAGTGTGTACCCAAGTGAAACAGTCTTCTGCTTACAATAAATGTGCCACAGCCACAAAGGAGAACAAAATTAAAATCAAATGTTTATGTTGATTCAACAGAATGTGCATTAAATGTCTTACAACTCTAGGGATAAGGCACATTATGTCACTTGCAAATATATGTGACAACAGTACCCAAGGAACATACACATCAAATCAAAGACCACATCATTATTTTTTAAATAATTTTCCCACTGACACCAACATGTGCTGATGCCCATTCTGACCTTATAGCATAGTATAGCGATGGACCCAGGGCTTGGATAACTTCTTTCCCTTATCAAAATATTCAACTGCTTTTCATTACACACCAGTATTGCAATCATTTCTTTTTAAGAATCACACGTTTCTAAACATGACAATGCCTTCTGTATAGTCTGTAAGCATATCCACCTTCCTGGTACAAGAAGCAAGTCAAAGGGTGCCGGATCTTGTTGGAGCCCCATGAAAGGAGGGGGACCAGGAGAAAAGAGACACAGGATGCTGCTTTTAGCTTTCCTCTCCCGATGATAACCCGTCTATGTCATCATCATCATCATCATCATCATCACCACCGATGGCCGTCCAAAACGCTTTTGCTACCTGGAAACAAGATTTAGTGTAAATAGTAATAAAGTTTACATAAACATGTTGAGTTCCACAATTTATTAAGTCAAACAAGAGATCTAACTAAAACATAGCTACTGAAACGTTTCATATTTCATCTAATCTGACAAGGATGGGAAGTTGTGAAGACACTATTTGTTTGTGATTCACAATATCACGGGAGATGATAAATACTTTATACATCCAGGATACACAGATTAAGAACATGAACAGGTGCTAGTCTTTGTGTCTTGTTATATTAATACAGTGACTTACCTTCTCTGCATGCACCTTCCTCTGCTCATGGGGTAATGAGGAAGCTTTGTCTGCAAGTTCGAAATGAGAGAAAACAAAAACAGCATGAACGGCGTCAGCTGTAGACATAGAAGCAGGGTACAAACATCCTGCAGGTTTTTTGGCTGAGAAAAGTTGTACATGCCCTTTTCGTTCCCCAATTACCTTTCATCTCTTTTAATTTGGAAAAGAGACGTTCAAAGTTATCCATATCTACATCTCCAGCTGTTAGATTGGCAAGTTCCTGGATGTCCAAATCAGTCATTGAATCTGAGAGGATCACCAAAAGAGAATATTAACTTAACATTTAATACAACTTTTAATCAGTCAGATCCTGATGTTTTGGGTGAACATAGCAGAGAAACATGTGCCAGCAGGAGTTTAAATGTATGGGAAAAAAGATTGTATGAAGAGTTAACTTACCAACTACTGTTTCCACCTGCGTTTCTGTGTTGGAAGTACTTTCTGTCTGGTTGGGTTCTTCACTAACAACTGAGCCCTCTACTGGCAAGCTGGAAGACTGCTATAGAAAACGAGCTAGGGTTAGCATGCCTTATCAAACACGGCGTAAACATTACATTTAAGTGAAAATGGATTGATGAAACACAACAATTAGTAAGAATACATTGAAAGATAATAACAAATATAGGTGAAATTAAGATCAATTGAATTGAATAGTGAAACAACAACTGACCTGTGGTTCTTGACAGCTGCGTGGGTTGTTGTGTCTGGCAGCCACCAAACTACTCATCAGACCAAAGCCCTGGTTGTGCCCTATCCAATAGAGGTGACCCGATACCAGTTATATTAAATAGTCTGGGGAACATGGAATAGGATATTGTAATGTTGTTGTCATCTCACCATCCTTCATCTCCACACTGGACCACACATTGGCATTGAGAGCCTGAACAATTCTCTTTACTCCAGTGGATTCTGGAAAGTCATCTGATCAGACAGCAAAGACCATGTGTATGAGTACAATACAATTATTCAACATGTGAAGAAAGGTTATACAAGTGTATGCAATTTCATTGGAATTCCTGCTTTCTTTAAAACTCACCGTCCTCATCTGGCAACTCCTGAGGATTGAGCTCCACCAGCTCAAAGGCATGAGCCAAACACCACTGCTGCGCTTCATGTCTGGTGACCCCTTGAATATAAATGACATTTCAAAAGCATGTAGTGGACTGCTAAATTGTATTCGATTGCTTTCTGCAGGCTAAAGACATCATAAAATGGTCGTAAAAAGTTGGAGTACTAACCTGTTTCACAGACTCTGTCACACACCAGGATGAGCACCTCTGGAGTAAGATCTTCCACCACTGATATCCAAGTATGTAGTTTTTCTAGACCATCCTTCTATAAACACCATGCACACATAATAATCATTACACATGTATCACAGGATATACTGTTGAGATGATGATTAAAGTATTACTCACGTACCACTGTACTGTCGAAATAAGCGATGAAAGCCTGCATGGACTGTGCAATCTCCGATGACATTTGAAAGGGGCTTGGCACAACACATAGCCTGACATCCGCTGTATAATATTTGTTGTTGATGATCCATGGATACCAGGCTACTGATTCTTCTTGCTTGATCGGCTCTGGCAAAGTATCCGGAGTAATGATCTCTGAGGATGTAATAAATGAGACACAAATAGAGACATTAGATTAGATCAACCTGGTTTCATTTGGTCTAGACGCTAAGAAAGATGAATGCAACCTCCTTCAGCTCCTATTTATGTATCACCACAACAACAAATAAATCCCTAACTAGCTTGACAACCTCAGACATGTGGTTATTAACCTGCATTAGCAACATACTGACTGTTCCGAATGTCATGTATTATGCTAAGAGTATGTTAGCTTTGTTTAACGTTAGCCAGTTTGCTAAATCCTGCACATTGAGATGAGCTAAACTTACGTTTTATCAGCTCCACTTCTTTAAAGCTGCTGTCACAGCTTGTGATGAGCACACATGGAATAGTAATCTCCGTTTCTTCTTCTGAATCTGACATTTTTGCACTATTTAGGACAAGCTTCTTCAGCTGCTAGCTTTGCCTGACGTTGGTAACCTTTCAACTCTTACTGAGCCGCAGTAACGGTCACTTCCGGCGCAAAGAAAAAACAAGTTATCTTTTTCTTTTTTACCACAGCTTTTGATACAATTAAATGTTTTTCCATTAGGTAATTTTAAGTCCTGATGAGGATACTAAATATTGATTTTGTGTTAAGAGCAACATTGGGACTTCTTGTACTGGCCGCGTTCACATCGCAGTACTTTTGACACTTTTGACACTCTTATTCAACTCATTTTATTTTCGGGAAAATGTCACATTCAAGGAGAAATGGACTGACTATGAACCAAATGTTGCACATCTTACATTTTCTACTTAAAATTACAACAATATTGCACCACTATTAAACATATTAAAAATAAGAAGGCAAACAAAACCAAAAATATGTTTTAGACTGTATATCTACCTATGTACCCCTGAAGTCAATGTTTTGTGTGTATATAATGTTTGATATAAGATTTTAATAATGTACATATAATATATGTACAATATTAATATATAAAATAATTAATATTTTGAATAAAGAAGAAAATAATGTGCTGAATGACACAGCTTTTAACGCCCTGAATTTGCCTCTCAGGCAAAGCACCTTCCCAGCCCCACCAATAAATTATGAATATAGGTTAAATTATACTAAAGAACGGCCATAATGACATTGCTTATCTTCATGTTTAAGACGGAAGTTATTCCGTGTTTGGTCTGGCAGTTCGTACTCGGGGAAAATAACACACTACTAAAATGTGGCTTCTTGTTGTCATGGTAACGAGTACTGTTTGAAGACTTTTCATTGACGAGTAGCTATAGCTATCTGATTTGGTTACATTAGTTGATGTTTTGTTACAGGTCTTTATCATGATATCGTGACACTGACACGTGTTTGAGTCATATTATTGTTTTTATTAGCTCATTACAAGAACATGTCTGACACCCTAAATGACGAAGATAAATTGGGAGCAGTTTTGTTTCAGGTAATGTTGTCTAATTGCCTACTAGCTAACGTTAACACTAAGGTTACACTTCTGACTTAAGGTAGCTGTTAGCTAGTTATCGTTGGTTGCTCAAGATAAGAAGATTGCTTTTGAACACATGCCAGACAGTAGGCCTAACTAAATGTTTCATAAACGTTGACGTTGTTCTTTCTTTTTAAACCTCCTGACATTTAGCTAAACTAACAACATGCAAAAACAAGCTACAAGTCAAGTTAACAGTATTTGATCACTGAAATGTGTATGTTACAGGTTCAAGAGGATTTGAGAAAACTCAAATGTAGTCTTGAAAAAATCACTACCAATGAGAGGGGAAACACTCTGGACATTCAAGCCTTGGAGGCTGCCATTGGAAAAACAGAAAGTATAATCAGGGTAAGTATGCTAAATAAGTGCTGATTAAAATGATATTAAAACATACATCAGACAAAGGAAGCTTGGTTACAGGCAGACAGCTTCTGTGTTATTTTATTGTGAATAGAAGCATGCAGAGGATCATCTGAAAACAGTGACTAAGCAGGTGTTGGTTCTTCCAAGAATTGAAGACTTGGAAAAAAACAAGCAGATTCCAAAATGGTAGGTAAAGAGAAGCGTACATGTGTTGAGATTGTCTCGAGTGCACTTTCCTTTATCATGCCATTGTGGGTATTGATGGGTATTATAATTGTGAAATAATTGTGCACGTCTGTCCGTCCTGGGAGAGGGATCCCTCCTCTGTTGCTCTCCCTGAGGTTTCTCCCATTTTCCCCTTTAAACTGTGGGGTTTTCTCTGGAAGTTTTTCCTTGTACGATGTGAGGGTCTAAGGACAGAGGGTGTCATATTGTCATACTGATATTCTGTACACACTGTGAAGTCACACAGAGGATAGCTGATATTCTGTACACACTGTGAAGTCAACTGAGACAAATGTAACATTTGTGATATTGGGCTATATAAATAAACATTGATTGATTGATTGACTGATTGATTGATTGATTGATTGATTGAAATTGCACAGGATACCTGCTCTGGAGAGTGTCCCAGATGTGCGTCCACAAAGAGAAGATCTTCCGGGGCCTTCACCTGGGGAAAAGGTAGGTTATTATTATTGTTCATTCATATTTTTAGTTTTTAACTTAGTATAGTGTTGCAAGTTACAATATATACTGTAGGGTTGGTTAGTTAGACATTAAACAATATCCTTGTACTATACATTAAGACAGGTGAGACAAAGAGACATGGTGTGATAGAGCAGCACATGAACACATGAATACTTTATGTTTAGCAGAACTTTACATTCATTTCAATCTTTGATATTACTAACTAAAGTTTTAAAACCTTTCCTCTCTTTGTCTTATTCAGCACAAGTCAGCATTAACCATGCGTTTGCTGTGTAATCCTGCTCACCCCCACAACAGAGCCATTTTGCATCAGAAATTTGGGATATCACTACCTGATGTCAACAAGAGGAGTATAAATGCAGTAAGTAATCTTAGATCTAAGATAAATATATATTAATTTAACTTTGTGTTAGTATCATGTGATGTTATGTGTTATCCGACCAGGTTTAAAGTAAACACTGTAAAAATGCTACTTGACTCACCCTTGGGCCTTTCAGACTCTATGGAATCAAGGTGATAGTTGATTTGTGTTCTCCCATAATTATTTCCTGCAAGTTGTTGTAAGATGGAGAAGTATACATAACAATCATGGAGGGAGTGACAGTTAATTCAACTCTGGCTTTGTAAAACTGAACACCCAGGAGAACTTAAGGTTTTGTATTAGTCGCAGAAATGAGGCTACATCTGGAATCGTGGAGTATATTTTTACAAACAACATCAGAATAATAATTTGCCCCTCCATTTATTTGCTTTGTACAATGAGAAATGGATTCCTATGTCTTGAGTCTTTGTTGATATTAATTGTAACATACAGCACATGCCTCAGGAAAGATTTGATTAGGAAGCATTACAAGAGTTTCTGCTGCAACAAAGATTAATTGAGTATCATTGCTCCTTTCCCTGATGCTTACTCTCTTAAACCCCTGAAAAGACACTTTATGCTGGAGTGAAGAGTGATGGTACGTGTCTGTATTAATGGATGCTTCAAGTGCTCAGAGACACAGTGACACAAAGGTCACTTGGCTCAGTGATGACAGCCAGCTCTTGTCATGGCAAATCAATTTATCTTTTCAAAGGTCGACATTAGTTTTAGATATATTTTACACACATCTTTTCCAATATGTTTTTGGTAATCTACACATGACATGAGAAATAGCAGCCAAGACTGTCATTCTGATATAGGAGAGATGGAAGTGCTGGCTGCAGAGAGCGGAAGGCAGCAGATTGCAGCACATCAGCATTCTTCTAAAGAAGCAGGCGCCTGATTGCTGTGCTATGGGCTGCTGGTTTACAGCTGTCTCAGGACAGAAGTGGGTACCTGGTCCAGCATGCCAATAAGACAGCCGTAGCTTCCCCAACTGCTAACCACTGGCTCTCTGCCTGCTGCCTTCTCCTGCAACTCAGGCCAGCTCTTCCTCACCACGCTCTTGCCAGGAAATGAGCTTTTGCATTTTAGCAATTTTAGAAAAAGGTGCCACCCTTTCCCAAACCCATCTGAAACAGATGTGTGCCTGTGAGGGGAGATGCTCCCAGCACCTGGCTACTACCTGAGGTCTGTCAGAGAGCTCAGTGGTCTGAAAAGAACAAGAAGATGACATTCAGGGATAAGTCTGGAGGATCAGCAGCACAAACTTTGTGTTTTCTGAGTGTGTTTATATTAAACAAGGGCAATAGATTCACTTTTTGTATCAAAATATGTTAGAATATGTTGCAGGACAGTTTTGATCTTGGCATTGTCAGTGTTATGGCTCGCTCCAAATCTTAATGAATACAGGAAACATATTGTTTGTAAGATGCAAGCTATTATATCCCAGGCTTCTTAGCACTTGTTTGCTAGAAAACCAGTTCAATCTTACATCAACAAGCTGGGATTAGACTGATGGCTGAGGGGTTGGTTAGATCCGGTACTTACAACAATGTCACTTATAAGAAGGAACTCCAGCTGCTGAAGAAAGGTGTTTAATTCAAAAGGGGCCAAACAAAGAAATACTGGAGCAGGAGCTGGAATCATTGCCTCAATGTTATTTATTTATTTCACATGTACATCCTCTGATCCTATGTGAATGTTCTGTTAGGGAAAGCATCAGAGAGTCCCCACTCGCTCTGTGGTGACTCTTCCAGCCATTGAACCAAAGGGCCGTCGTAGCCTGGCAACACCTGAAGAAGACATGGGGACAGGTAAGCAGACATTTCAGCGCCTTATTACCAACACCTCACCTCTGTTTGAGTGTAAGAACTGACACTCACTTCATTGAGCGTGCCTGTGAGTTTGTGTATGGGGGCCATATGGAGCAGGCCACATATAGGCTCATATAGACACATATAGACATATAGTGCATATAGACTTTGACAGGCACACACTATATCCTGATATAATATGGCAAAATGCTCACCATTATTTATATTGTTACATCAAAAACAATTGCATGTTCTTATATTAACTTGTTTCCAGCATTATTGTGCTTTGGTTTTTTACTCTTACCTAAGTGCAATATTCTGAGGATTGTTTTTTTAATTCATTTTTTCATCAGATACAAGTTTTCTTCATGCGTCGATCCATCCCAAGGCTGCCTCTCTTCACCCCAGAGAGGATTCCTATCCCTCTAAGACAGGTCGGTTTTCCTCGGACATATTGACCCTAATAAAGTCCAGTCACTGGCAGTTCAATATTTAGTGAGGCCTTTTATGCAATTATGCCTTTTATCTTCTGTTTTGCTCTCCTGCTAGTTCTGTAATTGTTTTTGATAGTATTGTTCAGTTAAAACCATAGACTGTATATATAAAGGTTAAAACCCTTAATGGCACTGTTCTTGTAAAGGTTCTGATTGATTCAACATTGATAACATTTTGCCACTGATAGAGTAAAGTTGAACCTGTCGGTTTGTGACGTCATGTCTAATAGGCTCGAGGTCCAGGAGTAACAAGC